GATCACTTTTCACTCAAAAACCTTAGACCAGCTCTCTCTCTCTCTCTCTCTCTCTCTCTCTCTCTCTCTCTCTCTCTCTCTCTTCTCTCTCTCTCTCTAAAATTCAACTTATCTCTACAAATACACCTAGATCTAAGGATCTCTCTACCCTACTCTCTTTGATAAAAAGATAAGGTATTCCGGGGGCTTCCATTTGATCCGAATAAAGTCAAGTTTGGACATCTTTGAGGTTTCTCCACTTCTCCTTTGGACTTCTACACTTGAGGTAGGGACTCTCTACACCTTAATATGAGCTTTAACTTGGTTATAGGTTGTTGTATGAAGATGGTGAGATTTGGGAGTGTTTTGAGCAAACCTAGGATTTGGGTTCAAGTTTGAAAAGATGGGTTTCTATGTAGGTGTTATATAAATGATTAGGGGTTTGGTTATGAGGTCATCTTGTGTTAAAATAATTAATTTTAGCCTTGGGGTTAACATTTAGAAAATTGGGAGCTTTGTCCTAAAATGTCTTAAATAGGTATTTTGTATAAATAATGAAATTGGTATAGAAAAGGTGAAATTGGGAGGATGTATACATGAATGGTGTTGTTGGATTTGTTTAATCACTCACCTATGGAAATTTGATGATTTATCTATTATAGAGATTGTATATCTGTTTAGAAATATCTGCTTTGGACTATCGATGGAGGATAGTTATGATTGTTGTAGACACTGCATGTGAATTAAGCGAATTGAAACTAAGCCCTTAACCATTATCATTGAATATGATTATGAATGATATACATTATATATGTATAATATTTCGAAGGAGAAATGAGATGTACTCCATGTTTTGAGAATAAGAAAAGGGATGGACTCTATTGAACTAAGTTGGACTGTGTGTCTAGAGTGAAAATCCCGAAAACCATTTGTATACATGGGTGCTAATTCCCGCGAACAAAATTTCCGTAAAATGACAAATAGAAGTGAATGTATTCATATGATGATTTTTTTTATCTGTTGGAAACTTGTGAGATGTAACCTTTGTTGATGGGTTAAATACAGTGGATGTATCTATTAAACCAAAATGAATAAATTAAGATGCGAGTTTAGCATAATGTGGTTTTGGAAAGAGTTATGAAGATTTTGTCATAAGACAATGAACATGTGCATCATACTTCTATCTTGTTAATTCTCGTATACTGTGTTAGTATGTTTCTACTGGGTTTTGGCTCACCCTACTTGGGAACCATTTTCAGGTGTTGGAGACATGCCTTCGCCGAAACAGTAGTTTGGGGAGACTTGGAGGAAGAACCTCCTTTTGTTTTATTTATTTTGGATAGCCAAGGGTTAAATTGTATTAAGTTGGACTCTTCTTTTTGCTGTAACCAAGTAACGTCTTAGAAAAATGTAAGCCCGTAGGGCATTTATTTTATTGATTATTAATTGGTATTACATGCTATAGATTCAGGATGAACATTTATGAATGTATATTGTATGTGCTATCTTTTATAATATGAACTCTGATGAATGAAAACATACCAACTATTATATTCACTTCTCGTCTGAGTTGGATTAATTGCATTTTGGGGGGCGTTACAGGGTGGAATGTCCCTTTATTTAAGGGGACATGTGTGTCCAACTTCAGACATGGCAAGGAAATCAAAAAAGAAGAAAGAGAGAAGAGATGAGCGACATGGTAAAAATTGGCCCTTCCTAACCAAGATCGGTGAGACGCGAAATAACAAACAAAAAGAAAAAATGAATCAAACAAATCACACACACTAGAACACAAGGATTTACATGGTTCACCCCAAAATAGGGCTATGTCCACAGTTGCTGCGATTTTCACTATGATAAAAAAAAAAATACAACTCTCTTCACCTAAAAGAGGCGTCCCCTCATCTATTTATAAGTATAGAATTAGGGTTACACAAAAGTAACATGGGAATTACGAAAGTAGGGTTGAGAAAACATGGTAAACCCCCTGGACCCCCTCCTCTTTGGGAGAGGCCCCCCAAACCCTCCATTGGACTCAGTGTTTGAGCGAACAGTAGGGTTGAGAGAATAGTACTTATCAGGGTCTATCGACCCAATAGTATTTTCCGTAACCAGAGGAGACGACAAACTTAACAAGCGACAAATGACAACCTCAATCTCCATCTCTCTCTCTCTCTCACCTTTGATCTTGATGAATTCTGACAACCTTCAATTGAGCTTTGTTGAGCTTTGATCGTGCTCTCTCTCTCTCTCTCTCTCTCTCTCTCTCTCTCTCTCTTGCGAGCTCTATTTCTCTCCTCTCTCTCACGCTTCTAATTGTAGATTTTATATATATATATATATATATATATATATATGATAGTTATATTATTTATGTATATATATTAGCCTTTCATAAATTATAGATATTTGTTTTAACTTATATATTATATATTCATTGATAAATTTATGTATTTATTTATATATTATATTTGTTGAATATATATATATATATATTAAAAAAAAATTGTTGTGTCCTCCGTCATGTCTGTGTCACTATTTTTTGAAAATTGTCGTGTTCATGTTCGTATCTGTGCTTCATATCACGACGCTAAGATTAAGGACATAATTGTATGAGCTACAAGATAGAAAATAACAAAATATCATGTAAATGGAACAGTGAGTGATGAAGCATTCAATAAATGAGGGGGGAAATAAAGAATATCATCTATGTAACTGTGTGAAGTTAACTACAATTAACAAGGCTTGAGATGACAGGAGTCTTCTGAGATATCAATGGGGAATATTTTCTCAGAAGAAGTCATGGTTTCAAACTTGAATAGTGAGAAGAAATGACATGGTAGCCAGGGCATGATAAAGGTGGTGCGTTTGTCATCAAGTGTTTTAAACAAATGATGTATGTATGTCATCTATTATGTTATCTCCTGCTTCTATGTTTTCATATGACTTTCTCATGTTTGTTTTCTGGTTTATCTCAATTTTTTTTTTTATTATTATTTATTTTTATAAATAAAAAAAAATCACAATTCATATTATAGACTATGAAATCCCAAAGGGTTGGCCTGGCGGCAAGGCCTTGGGTTTTGGGGTTGTGCTCCCTCTAAGGTTTAGGAATTGAAACCTCTTAAGTGCTAACAATTCCCTGGGGCCATTGGATTGTGGAAAAATCTAGAATTAACCGTGGTGCAATTGCGGAAAACTTCTTGCCGAGGGCTTGTGCACCCCTGGAGATTAGTCAAGCTTTGATCCAGACACCTCAGTGCCAATCAAATATATATATATATATATATATATTATAGACTATAAAGCATGCATTGACATCTTTTTTGTTTGTATTTAGTGATTCTAGAGGATGTAGCAACTAATCAGATATGATATGATATCTGTTATTATGTATCCAAGAAGAACCAGGTTTCTTTCTGATGCATCAACTGATTGGAAAGGCATTAGGTATTTCAGGGGCAAGTGTCCATCAGTATGATAAGCCAGGTTAGATTATATGAAATCATTAAGGTTCATGTTTATCATGTTTTTCTTGTTCTTCTTTTCTCTTAATACTTATCTAGCACTCTTCTAGCAGAAATACGAAAGCAACGAAAGATGGGTCATGTAAGTGTAGTTGGCCCTTCTATGGACATTGTGGAAGCAAAGCTAAAATCAATGCTTAATGAAGAAATTTTGGATGGTCAGACTGCAGCCTGCAGGTCAGTTGTGTAGACATAATTTTTTGAGCAGTATCTGATTCAATTTTAATTTGACAGTGGAGTGGAGTCATATTTGGAGCATCTGCATGTTGTTTGACATTGCATTTCAGAAACACATAAGGATTACCAGTGACAATTTAAAGTTTTTAAAAAATTTGTTCTGCCGCCAGTTATAAATGCATGAAGGTTGTCTTCTCTCTTATTTCATATAAGATTGTCTGCCTTTAATCAGTTCTGATACATGAACTTTGCATTCATGTTGTTCTGCATTATTTGCTTGACAATCATGCCACGTGTTGGGATCATTATGGGTTCTGATTCAGATATTCCTGTTATGAAGGATGCTGCAAAAATTTTGAATACGTTTGGCATGTCTCATGAGGTCATGTTTGCGTATACTCAGTGTTCATTTACCAAATTTAAATATGTTACTTGTAGCTAGCAATTGTGTTGTTGCTTTTAAGTTGCACAGATGAGAATAGTGTCAGCACACCAGACCGCTGGAACCATATGTTTTTGTAACGACCCCATTACATATAACGATTAGCACTTAATTAATTAAGGAGATTTGGAATTTAATTGCCAATTATTATAATTTAATCTGGGATTCACGAAAATTATGGAGATTGATTCATATATGATTCTATTGAAGATTTATCTTGAAATTAGAAATTAAGGGTCCAAATGGCTTAAGGAAGTGAAGTTAAGAAGTTGAATCAATTTAATCTTAATTACGGACCCATTTGGAAGTTTAATTAAATATTCGATTCAGTTTAGTAAAATTGAGATTCGATTAATTAGGTCCAAATTAGAGTTAATGAAATTAATTAAATTATGAGGATTAAGAATTGTAATTATTATGAATTAAATTTATTTATGGAGTGCTCAATTTGAATATGTAATTTATTGACGAAAATTTTGAGTCTAATTAGAAATTGAAGGCTTAAATGATTTAAGAAACTAAAATTGTGGATGGAAATAAGTTTAATTTAATATTTGGAACCTTTTGGGAGTTTGATTAAAAATCAAATTCAAAATGCTAAAGCTTAAATATAATTAATTGGGCCTTAAGGAAGTCAAATTAGTCTGAGTAAATTATGTGGGATTTTGATTAGTTGTGATTAATTAAATTATGTACTAATCAAGTGTTAATTATAATTAGTTAAGTCCAAAGTGGGGTTTAATTAAGTCAATGCATAAATTAGTAATTTAGTTACTTTTAGAGCCTTCTAATCTTTTAGTATTGGAACCTTGTGCACGTGTGAATAGTGTTGAATCAGGAAGTGGGTTTGTGTATATGTGGTGCCAATTTCAAGTGAAGAAGTGGGCTTACTCTTTTTCTTCTTCAGAAACTGTTTTGTTGAATACGGTTTGGAGAGGGAGAGAAGAACCGAGAGAGTGAGAGAGAGAAGTCCAACCATTATGCTGGAAAAAGCTTTGGAGAAATGGGTTTAAGAGATCTAAATGAAGATAAGAGAGGAAACTCAAGGAATTAAAAAGAAATTCAGCCATTGAAGGTTAAAGGTAAGGATTTCAACCTTGATTTTTGTAGAATCCTTGTATCACACTTGGAATTAAAGATGAGTTTGGCTCAATTTCATGTAATTAAAAGGGTATTAGCAAGAAGATGATGGAATTAAATTAGACTCATGGTTATGGAATAAATTTAGGAATTAATTATTTTTGGGTTTGATTTTGGAATACCATGCATGAATTTGAGTCAAATTTTTACATGCATGAACAAACTTTACAAGTCTCAATACTCTAATTGTACATGCATCTTAGATGTTTAAAAGATTTGAAGGATTAGTTCCATGTTTGGGTATAAGAAGAGCAAGTTTTGGGGAAATATGAATTCATGAACATTTTGAACTTAATATTGAATTAAGGAAATTTTGGATGTAATTGGTTTGAATTTTGATCCTAATTTCACACATGCAAATATTTTTTTAAGAGTTTTATAACTTTAATTTCATGTTTTAGATAATCCTCCATGCATCATGAATTAATGGAATTAGTCTCATGGATTTTGTAAGAAATAAGGTTTTAAGTAAGAAATTAAGTAGACTCATAGTTGTGGAAATTAATTTGGAAAATTAATTGTTTTTTATTTGATTTTGTAGTATTTTCTTGTGATACATGAGTTTTTAAGGGAATTGAGCCATTCAAGTTCATATTTTGAAGAGATAAAGGAAATGTTTTAAGAAAATTAAGTTTATGGAAATTTGGAATTAATCCTAAAGTTTTGATGTTATAATTAGATTTTTAATCCATGCATGTAATGTAATTTTAAGAGTTTGGAAAATCTAATTCATATTTTAATATTGTGGGTTTGATATAAAGAAAATGAGTTAAAACTAAATTTGAACTTCAATTACAATTACGGAAATTCCAAAATTTACGCTGTCCGCTTGAGCGTGAAAATCGGGCTCCCATAAGTTTTTCAAATTTTACAGTCCGCTCGAGCGACCAAAGTGGCGCTCGAGCGAAGACTCTATTTTCAGCATATTTTGAAAAATTGCATTTAGTTCACATTTTTATTTTCATCTCTTTCCAAAGCATTCTAGGCATGTTTTATGGCTCTATAAGGATTAATAAGCTAACAATCAACATTAATTAGTTGATTAGGAGAATAAGTCATTAACTTAGTAGTGCTTGATTAAGAAGTCAAGTAAGAATTGGTTTATTCATAAAAGAATGACTTAGTAGTGAAAGGATATGTGAAATAAGAATCCGATTCATTTGAATAAAGGAAGAATGCATGTAGTAGAATCTCAGACTACTTAGACAGAAAAAGACAAGAAAAGTCAAGCTTGATCAAGGAATTGATATTATGTTTTCGATGTGTATATGTTATGAGTTTGTATAGGTCACGCGTTATCGTTCGCCTGATCTATCTGAATTGTCTGCATTATCTGATCTGCTAGTGGAGCCAATGTGAGTAACAATATTGTAAAGATATATTCAATTATAATTATTTTCTGAACGATCGACTATACTGCTTTCTGAAGTGGCATTGTTTACTAAATGAATGTTTGTCCTATTTTATGAACTGTACTCGGGGCATCCATAGCAACTTACTATTACTGTTACTGTTACTGTTACTATTACTGCTACTGTTACTGTTACTATTACTGTTACTATTACTGCTACTGTACTGTTACTGTTACTATTACTGCTACTGTTACAAAGATCTCTGTCAGTTCCAATGTTTGGAACTACTACTGTTTACTGTTTTGATGGCCATCAACTGATTGTTCGGTCTATTAAGACCTACTGTTCTATTCTGCTATTGGATGTACCACGTATGACTGCTATGATTTCTAAATGACTGTTATGACATGAAATATGAGACATTAATTGAATAACTGATCTACAGATGCAATTGACTGTTTTAATTACTGAAAGGACATTCATTCTTAACCCTTTTACACATTCGTTATTCACTGGACTTTAGCTCACAATTTATTATATATATGTAGGTGGTCAGGCACCGGATCAAAGTTAGCAGCGTCAGCCTAATTCCGTTTCGTCAAACCAACCCACTGTGCCTCCCGTGGAGGTTCCGGACATGTCTAGTGATTGTGGCTAAGTGCATAAGTTGAAGTTCTGTTTTCCTGTTCAGCTAGACAAGTCTTTGTGTATTTTGTAAATAGGGCTAAGTCCCTTTTTGTCTAGCTTATATACGTATATATATGATGATGTGTATATGTATGTATATAAAGTTTAAAATTTTTCTGTCTCATATAAGTCTGCACAGCTCAATGGATGTTGTATAATTGCTCTTTGCTTCCGCAGCCCCTAATTATATGTTATTCTGTTAAGAGGCCTTTAGTAATCCAATGATTACCGGCCGGCTATGACGCTAAACCTATAGGGGCGGGTTTGGGTCGTGACAGTTTTCTTATGCCTTGTCAGCTAGGGAGCGGGGGATTCAGATTATCATTGCTAGTGCTGGTGGTGCTCATTTAATAATATTCATGAAATGCCAGATGAGCATTGATATGCTCTTTCTCATTTATGCATGGTAGCTGCATCAACCCCTTTGCCTGTTATTGGTGTTCTTGTATGCGCTTCATCACTGGATAGACTTGGTTCGCTCCTATCAATTGTGCAGGTATACATTTTCTGAACTTTTCTAGAGTATAAAGAATTGGTTTTATTTGATAACTGCACTGAGTATGACTAGATTGCAAAGGAAGCTTCAGAGGTAAACGGTATGTATCTTTCTTTAATTTTGTTACTTCTCGTCTTTTTGTGTCTTGATCATTGCTAAGAACTTAGACATTTTTTATTTTTATTTTTTCAAATCCTACATAAGCTGATTTAAGCACACGCTATTTGCTTGAGCTTGTGGTTTTTGTTATTATAATACATATGTGCAGGTCTATGTTGCAAGCTGTCTTCAGTTCATTGGTCTTAAGATCTGTCTATGTGGTAACTTCTATTGCCACCCTAATTTTTAACCAAGCAATGGCTTGACATCCACTATATGTTTAGTCATCATTGAAAAATAAAAAGACCCTAAAATTAGTTTTGAACTTCTAATCTTTTTCTGTTTAATTATTCAACTTCTATTCCTATATACATTTTTTCTTTTCTTTTCTTTTCTTTTCTTGCAGAAATCATTCAGTTCTACTATAATTTTGCCAAACTAATCTTGTAATAATAGTGATGCTGATGTGCTCTCTGCCATTGCAAACCTAACAAAAGCACTAAAGTCGTGCCATAATTATGCAATGATACTGAATTGATCCCATGTATAAACTATATTGATGTTAGCCAATATTTAGTTGGTTTTAATTTAACTGAAAATCACTTTTTGTTTTTTCTTTCTATTTTTTGTCATGTTTTCCAAGGAAGCTGGGCTATACCTGGAAGAGACATGAGCATTGAGTTTGGAGCTATCAACAATGAAATAACTCCATGAATATTTATTTTCGTGTGTGATTATATTGTCGATTGTGTGTTTGGAAGGATTGCAATCTGTTTTTGCTATCAAACGTTTGTTTTATTATGAGTCTAGTTAACTTCATAAATATTTTTTTTCATGGCTTTTTGACTTTTTAGTTATATTAGCCCATTACTAGATAGATGCACCAGAGGAATTTGTTTTACTTTCAAGAAAATAATTAAAAGAAAATGCATAAAATTTGTTTTACCTTAGGGGTTTTATGTTAGTGTAAGAGGAGTTAACTTGAGTCCATTCAAAAAAATTTCTGTTCACCAAAAAAAAAAAAAAACTTGAATCCACTCAATTAATTAGGCCCAATCAGAAAGTCTACGATTGGTGGGCCCGAATTTATAGCAAGTCCAAGATTGGTGAGACCGGATTAATTGCCATCAAACGGGCCGAATCGCTCCAAGCCTTGAAAGGGTTCGGATCCATGAACTTAGAGACTTACTCGGGCCTGGACTCAAAAGGGTTTGGATCCACAAACCTAGAGATCCGAAGCACTTGGCTTCGAACGGATTCAAATGCAATCTAGAAGTCGCTCCGTTAGTGAGTCCTAGAACACTTGCGGGCTCGGAGCTTTTTGGGATCTACATACCAGAACCATGAGCGTAATGGAGTTCGAACAAAGGACCCGATTCTAAGGACGGTGACTGGAAATAAATTCACTCTTTGGTTAAACTGGTCTATACCCGAGTCGAGGTGGCACGATCTAGGGGGTCCCTGAGACTCGGCAATATTTACGGCAGGGCGTTCTCTTGAACTACCCCTGACCCTTCTGTGGCAGGACGTCCTCTGGGACTACTCCTGATCCTTTGGGATGATTGGGGATCATTGGTTAGGTGTGGCTAAGAAGAAGGGTTCGCTGAGAGGTTGATCTCCTCTTCGGGGTTCTCCTCATCCATGGAGAAGTCACCTCCTTGGACAAGGTGGTTAGAGAGAATATTCCTCATATGCCTTGCAAATGGGCTCTATCCTATATCATGAGGTGTCTATAAATAGCACCCACATGTAACGCCTCGAAATAAACCCAACATGTATAATACATCAAGCCACATTCATTAATTAACTATAACCATTCTCTAACCTTTACATCATAAATCTCCAAGGTTTTATACAAAAGTTCCACATGCAGATATACATTCAATGATAAGAAGAACACATGAATCTATAGCATGTGAAGCATCTAGTCTCAAATAATTAAAATGCCCTTAAGGGCTTATATCTTCCAGGGCAATAGTCCGATTACACAAAATGGTCTCTCGAACCCATACACGTTTATCCCTTGGATTACAAAAATTTACAACAAAAATAAGAGAGCAATCTACTCTTCACAAAATAAATCCATGCCCTCAACTCAGCGAGATCACCACATCTTTACCTGCACCAAAGTCCCATAGGGGTGAGCATAAAGCCCAGTGCAGAATTCTTACAAAGTATATACAGTTATGCAAACTCTCAATGAAAAATGCAAATGTCGATGCCATGTCATGCCATTTTAAAGAAATTTCAATTTAGGCCCTTCTTGAAGATCACGTTTTTTCAATAAAAGTTTATAATCTAAACAATTTCCGAAACTTCCAATTTTAATCAATAGGGGTGGTAAATACGACTCAGGTAATCCCCAAGTTGATGTCTGCAAGTAGGCTCAACAAGCACTACCAATAACCTCATTTTACCGGTTGCTCACTAGAAGAGAAGTGGTACCTCTAACCATAGCTTTACAAGGCATGGATTTTGGAGAGATAACTCTTGGGAAAGAACTAATTTCCCTTCTCCATTATCAACCTTGAGAGTGAAAGTGGGAGAGCCTTGCCATTATTTTCTCCCTAATTACTTTGCCATCTTCTTCACTCAATCTCTTATCTCCATCATCTCTTTGTTTTTGTGTTCTTAGTTGTGATGATTGAAGAATCTAAGCCTCTCATCATTTCTAGAGAATTTAAATTTTCTTTAAAGATCTTCAAATTTTCAAACAACGTTCTTGAACCCCCTCATACATTTAGCGACTCTGCTGGGGAGGCGGATTGGTTAATGGTCTCAACGAGATCTGGAACCCACACAACTCCAGCAAGGATGGCGGGAGAAGATGAAGTTCACCAACAAGGGTCCTCTAATGGTGGCGATGACAGGACTATGGCTCCAAATCAACCAATTTTACTCAAAGCCATTTAAGGACTTTAAAATACTCAGCAAGAGATTCTTACCACTCTTCAGAATCTCACTCACACCATGTTGGTGATGAGTTCTAATTTTGTACTGGCACCAAACGAAAATCAAACTGGAGGTGGAGTTATCCCTGTCGAAGTGCAAAATCAAACCCAAGAAGTAGGCCCCAGTCAGTGTAACAACCCCAACCCAAGATTAACGATAATTCGTGATTTAATGTGCCTAACAAGATATTAAGACCAGATTTTGAATTAATTGCATATATGGTGCATTATTTATGTTTCTATCTGTTCATTGTAGGAATATTTGTTTGAGAGTCTACTATATTTTGCGAATTGAAGGCCTAATTGGCATCGGATTCTGAAATTGATCTGATTTATGTGTTATGTGGAATTTATAGAATTTTATGGTAGGTTTAATTGAAATTCGATTAGGAACGATTAAATTAGTGCCCATTTATTTTAACCTCAATTAGCTATACTTTAACCAAGCCTATTATAGGCACCAATTGAGCCCCACTCATATTTTTTCTTTCATTTGAGCACATTGAGCCTCTTCAAGGAAGAAAAATGTAAGAAAGGGAGAGTAGGGAGAAATTGAGTTCAAATAAAGAATTGGCTAGGAAATTGAAGGAGAATTGGAGAATTGAGCTAGGATTCATCAAGAGCCCAAAGATTGAGACTTTAGTTAAGAAACCAAACCTTTAGTCTTGAAGTTGAGTTGATTCACCCATGAATTCAAGTGAATTGAGTTATGAGATGTAAGAATCAAGCTTAAGAAGTAAATAGGAAGATCAATTCATACATGCATGTACATTTCAATGCATTGAGCGCAAGTTACTAGGAAATGCCCTCATGCATGTTTGAAATTCATCTTAATTTAGGGAAATCATCAAGTTTCAAGTTGTTTTATGGCATTTGATCATGTTTTGAAAAGCTCAAGATCAAGAGAATTCATGTATGTTATGTTCATGAAACATTTAAAAAGATTAAGTTGAAATTGTGTACAATTGGCATGCTTTTGGGCCATGATTTATTGAAATGATCCTTTGAACATGTTCTCTTCTGAGTTTTTATGTGTTTTCCAAAATTTTGGCCCAAGAGGATGGGTTTTGAAGTGTTTGGTTTGAGTTTGAAGCTTGGAGATCAAATCTGGAAATTCTAGATTTTGCATCCACGCTCGAGCGTAGGAGTTCACGCTCGAGCAAGCACTTTGAGTGCGTGCACTTCCGCTCGAGCTACCTGAAGCTCACTCGAGAGTGAAATGCATGTATCCAGAAGGTCATTTGTTTTGCAGCACGCTCGAGTGGAAGAAGTTACGCTCGAGCGAGGGTCTAAGTCTCATGCTTGAGCGGGGATCGAGCGTCCGTCGAGGGTGAAAAACAAGTAACTAGTAGTTTTGTCGAAGTTTACAGTCCACTCGAGCGAAGAAAGTCACGCTCGAGCGAACCTCCACATTTTGCATGTCCGCTCGAGCATGGACCCTGTTTTCAGCAAAATTTGAAGAATGTTTTCAAGTGCATTTTTGCATCCTCATTCCATCCTAGACATTCCTAGGCCATGATTAAGACACCATAATGAGGATAAAGGGTAGAAACACACTAAGAACAAACGAAATAAGTTAAGTACAAT